CAGCCCTGATAGAGGAAGGGTCTTATAATGGCTTGCGTTTGTGCTGGATCTCACTGAGAGGCTGAAAGGAGCAGGGCTTGGCTCTGAATTCAGTGCTGTCAGAAAAAGTGGGTAACTATATGATGGAATAGCTTATTTAAGTCTTATTTCCTCGATAGAGAAGACAGACTAGGGCAATGCTATAGCTGACAAACAAAAATTTTTTAAAAGTACTAAGTAACACTAGTATTCACAGTGGGGGCACTTTTGGAGGTATTTTGTTGTTTGGACAATGTGCACACTTTGTGTTCAGGTACTGTTGCTGAGGGACTGTTATTTTGTCTTCATCATGACCTTGATAAGTGTTAATTTTCTGTGAGAGCATTTTCAGCAGACTCCAGGGCCCAGCTACGAGTGCCAGGCTGGCTCCCAGCTGCCAGGGTCTGAAAATACAGAGAAAAGCCACTCAGAAACCAAGACAGAAGACATTTTCACCTCATGTGTAGGAGTTTTTCCCACATAACAAGCAAGCAATCATTTGTTCAGACAACACCAGTCCAAGTCTCACTTTTTATCTGGAGATACAGTAACATCAGTATCTATTGAGGTCTCCAAGACTGCCCCCAAGTTTTGATGCTGGTCACAAGCTCCAGGTTGCCTTGACATATTGGCCATAAATCATGATCCCCACAATCCAAAAGTTTTCTAAAAGGGATGAGAAACTCAAGGAGACGTATTTGCCAGGATTACTTAAAGGATATAAATGAACAGCCAGATGAAGAGATACATTGGATCTGGAAGAATCCCAAGTATAAAAACTCCCTTCCCTGTGGAGCTAGGATATGCCATCTTCTTGACACAGGAATTTATTCTCCTTCCTGCAAGCCTCTAAACTCTGTGCTTTTGAGTTTGGGTTTTTATGGAGGCTTCATTCTGTAGGATGATTGATTAGGCCATAAGCAATGTACTCAACCTTCAGCCCCTTTCCTCTCCTTGGAGGTGGGGGTTGGACTGTGTTCTCCTGGCAATCAGCCCCCCATGGTGTGGTTATTTAGGGACCTTCCCAAAGTGGCCTCATTAACATAAATGCAGGTACAGTTCGAAGGGGTTGTTATAAATAACAAAAGATTATCTTTCATCTTTACTGCTCTTGAGCTATCCCAGGATTGCCTCAGGGACCCAGAATGAAAGACCAAATACTGTACCTTAAGGGAAGAAAGATACTCTCGGTGTTTTGGTCACTTGGAAATTATAAGAGTTATAGGATCTAGAAGTCAGGAACCGTGAACAAAATCCAAGTCATGAGTATCACACAGGTGCTGCGATTGTCTTCCTTAATCTTCACCACTCAGAATTGTTCTGCTTCAGATAACCGCTACCTTGAACAACAGATCTTGTACCCTTGCCCATGTGGGGAGAGGTCCTTATCCACTCACTTTCTGCAGTTTATTATCTCCAGATGCCCTGTGGTCCCCAGCTGTTTTCCTCCTGGCCAGCCCCGTACATCATTCACTGTTTTCCTCTAAGGCTCCTGAATACTTAGAGCATAAAGTCTAAAGCCGTATAGCATGTGCCCTCCTGCCTCAGCACGTGTCCCTGTGCCTGGCCTCCTTCCCCACTGACAGCCTCTGCGAGCTGACCTCTGCTGGCATGATGGGAACTGATGATGGAATCCCCCAGTGGCTCTCCCCATCTCTTTTTCTGTCTTCCTGGTTTGTTTGCACTTTAACCCTTCTCTTCCCACCTCTTGACCTTATGCTTACTAGCTCTACAGGTCGAGGCAAGTTTTTCCATTAGCCCTTAACACAGAGCTCTCCTAGCTCTTTGCTTTTCAGAGTTCCGCTGATAAATAGTTTCCTCCTGACCCTGATACTCTTCTTCGTCTCTTCCTTTTTTAGGTCTCTAACATTTTTTCTTCCTTCTCTTTCCAGTTCCCCTTTAGCGGGCCCATTTACGGCCCAAACTTGAATGATTTGTACATTTGTGTCTATGCTTGATCTAGGTTCTGACACTGATGCTTTACTTCTAACTGCCTGCTGTACACAGCAGGATGTCTTGGCAGTACCAACGCATCCTTATGAAAGGACAGGCTCCGTCTCACCAGCGTGGTTCCTCTGTACATACTGTCCTATTTTATGGCACTCCCAGTCTCTCAGTCACTAGTTTCTCATGACAATTAAAATCCTTGGGTTCTACTTTTGCCTTGTCTCTTAAATTTGGCAGCATTTCAAGGTTCTTACCAAACTACCCTTGGATTTTCATGAGCCTATAAACTTAGTTAGGAGCAAGGCGCTTATCCTCCCTGTCTTTGCTTATCTGTTCAGCTGTGTATCTAACCCAAAGAAGGCCCTCACTGTTTGCTCTGTGAATGGCTGTCAATTAAATGTTTAATGCTTTGCTTGTATTTCATGAATTGTAATTGCATATATTTTCCAATTTTCTAAAATTAGTCCTCTTAATCCCACCCCCCCTCCCTTTTTTTGTTTGTACTGAGAGTCTCAGGCAGGTGCTCTGTGCTGCTGATCTATGTCCCCAGCCCACTTGTTTTGGGATAGTGGTACTGGGGTAAAACCCAGAGGCACTGTGTCACTAAGCTACATTCCCAGTCCTGTTTATTTTTGTTTTGTTCCATTTTGAGACAAGGTCTTGCCCAGCAGCACAGATGGAACTGGAACTTGTGATCCTCCTCTCTCAGCTTCTTTGGATGCTGGGATTTCAGGGGTGTGCCGTGCACTTGGCTTAGTACTTTCATTCTTAATGGTGAATAAAACATACCCAGAGCTTCAACTATGACACTTTTCTTTTTCAGTAAGAGAAATTAGTTAAGGGTGCATCAGAAAATATTAATTTAACTTTCCCACTTCGGAGCCAGATATAATATATAGGGTTATTATGTTTTTGTGGTAATTTCCCATAATGTACATCCCCTTTTTCCTTCATTGATTTTTCTGCTTTTTCTCTTCTTTATTTGAAACAGGCTTTCAAAATGGAACCTATTACAGTGACATAAGATGCTATTGATAGTACATCAATCTGATCCTGCTTGTCCCCTGCCCAGTAGAGTATAGCTGCTGTGTGCACAGCCATGTAATACACAGCGGTTACACAGACATTAGAGAAGCCCTTCCCATCCATATGTATGTGCGTGGCCACAGAAGTTAATAAGGCCATATATCACATGTGCATAGAATGTAAAATGCACTTCAGAATGACAGCAGGCTCATATAAAATGAGTATTGGCTTACGATTAGGGGAGAACAGGGAAAGATTTTTCTCCTTTCAAGTAACAGTTATTTGTCTATTTCTGTCTGTCTCTGTATTTCAGACCCTTGTTCTCTCTCTTTTTTTAAATTTTTGGTCAGTATATGCCCTTCTCTCTAGCTACTTTATTTCACTTCAGCTACATGGATAACAAAAGAACTGTTCCAGAGAAATGAAAGATAGCAATTACACATTGGTATTCATGTTACAGGAGTCACGCTGCCGTCCTCAGGGAGCTGAACAATGAATATCCAACATTAATTGCCACAGAAACTGTGCGTCTGACCTTGCTGAAATGTAGTACATCAGTTTGACATAGTAAAATTATTTGCCGCTAAAAGATTAAAAAATAATGATTATAAAATTATATCGCATTTAGAATGGCCAATATTGTTTGTTGTTAAGAAAATCTGAAAGGATTTAAATGAGTAGGTCACTATATTTTCTTAGAATTCAGGACACTAGGATCAAAATCACAATCTTATCACAGATTTGGTTTGTAATTAGGGCAAGAGTAGTGCCTTTCTGTTCTTATGAAGAGTAAACATCATTAACACCTCTGGTTGGTCAGTAGAAGCAATTAATACAATGCTATATATATATATATATATATATGTGTGTGTGTGTGTGTGTGTGTGTGTGTGTGTAGTGCATTTTATCCACAGGGGTAGGGGTATCTTTCCTCTTTATGTTTGTACCTAATTATTAGTAGAATTTTTTTGTCGGTAGTAGAAAATAGAAACATGCTAGAAAACCTAGCACATGTTTCTCTCTGTAAAGAGGTGACATCATTTTTAAGGTAAAACCTACTTTTATCAGCTTTTCTTGCTTTTACCTACTTGCTCAAGTCATAAGAAATATAGAAGTTAGGTGTGCTTACATGCATCATGCAGTTCTTTTTCTGGGCTGCCTTGTGCTTCCTGGGTGTTGCACACTGGGAGACTTTCACACTCCATGCTCTGGAGGTGTTTGGCGCTCACAGTTGGTGCCACACTGCTGGGTCAGCAGGGAGCGTCCTCTGTGACTGAGCCCTGTCAGCGGGCCACCCTGGCTCTGGGCAGGGGAAGCTGTGTGTGCAGAAATGAATGATGGTTCAGCCTTCCCCTTTTTCAAAAGAGACTGAAGTGAAGAAAGCCAGGGCAGTCAACCATGACATCTGAATTTCAGCTTAGATGAGATTCTAACTAAAGATCCATTTTTGCTTGTGTTCTGAAAAATTTGAAGTACGTGAACAATTTAAAGACCATCTTGAGTCTGGAAAAAAATATGCCCTGAGTAATCAGGTAGTTTTTGCCCACCTTTTGAAGTAAAACACTGCTTATTTATTGTAAGATTTTTTAAAAAATGTATGTTTCATATGACTTCCTAACTTTAATAGAGCTTAATAAATATTAGCTAAGTAAAAGGAGATAGTGCACATGAATTTAGCATGCTGTGCTTTTTAAATGTTTGAACTTTATGTTCTCTAATACAAATTGTTCAGGTACTTTTAAAAATAAACTCTTTGACTGTCAACTCTCTTTCACTTTTTCCCCTTCTGTTTCTTTTAAAGTATCTATGTCTCTCTAATGCTTTATGTTTCCATAGAACTCAAATCTTGAAACTGTATGATTAGAGACTGTTTGCCATGCTCCTAATTTATTCTGAATCTTTAAAAAAAGAATGATAAAGCCACCCTACAAAATGCAGCTTGAGTTGGCTGCTTTTTAATTTTCTCTCCCTTTCCCTTTCCCATCCATCACTCCTTTCGGCAACTAAAGCAAGATGATGAAGTGACGACTCTTCAGGTTAAAGAGCAAGACCAGACCATCCTGGTGCTCAAGAAAGTGCCGGGCTGTGGCCCAGCCCCCACCGCTGGCAGCGCTGAGAGCGATTGGAGGTGAGAGTTTCCCTTGCAGCCACCGAGGCACGCGCTCCTCTCTCTTCCTGCCTCCTTCCTTCTCCTGCTCCATCTCACCCACTCCCTCTGCCTCCCTACCCTCCCTCCCTCTCTTTTCTCTCCGCCTCTCCAGCTTTCTAGCTGACTGCAGAGCTCTGAGCAGCCAGATGGACTCGGTTCCCAGTGAAATCACAGCGATGGCCAGCTCTTTTAGCATTTAGGGGATGCCTTTGTTAGTAACGGCTCACAATGGGCAGCTCCCGGCTGAGGGTCTTTGACCCTTATCTAGAGAGGAAAGATTCCACCGCGCTCTCAGACCGAGAGCTGCCTCTGCCCACCTTCGATGTACCTTATTTCAAATACATTGACGAGGAGGATGAGGACGATGAATGGAGCAGCCGCTCACAGTCCTCCACCGAGGATGACTCAGTGGACTCTCTACTCTCTGACAGATACGTGGTGGTGTCCGGGACCCCAGAGAAGATCTTGGAGCACCTTTTGAATGACTTGCACCTGGAGGAGGTCCAAGACAAAGAAACAGGTAAGGCTCATGCCTCATGCTTCCAGACTCAAAGCTGCTGATGCCCTTGTCAGCTCCCTGGGGCGAGGCTCCTGCTGTTCCGTAACCTCGGTGGGGTAAAACAGCATATGCTTTATGGGCCTCCCCCTTTGCCTTGTGCTGTTTTGTTTAAATCCAGTAAATGGACACATGCAGTTCCCAAGCAGCTGCTTGGGAAGTAACCATACAAAGAAAATGATGGGAAGACAGATGTTCTTGTTTCTTTGGTAATTTTTACCAAATCTCACCTAAAGGCAATTGGCAAGAGACCAACATCCAACAGCCCTTGTACATTAGAATGAAATACAAGGGGGACGGGGTAGCTGGCGTTTGCCTGGCTTGTGAGAAGTGCTGAGCTGGGGGGAGTAGACTCCCTGCCAAAAAGTCAACAATTTTTAACTACTCAGCAGCTACCCCAGTTTTACTGCAGCTACTCAGCGGCTCAGGCTTAGCAGCAACTTCTGCCTCTTCCAAGTGGTTCACAAACTGCCTGCTCAGAGGAAGCCCTGGAGTGCAGCATATGATACAGCTTTGTAGACCCGAAATTGTAATCAGTGAAGCCTTATTGATCAGTCGTCTTGTCCTTTTTATTCAACTCATTTGCTTTGATTCAACCCATTTACTAAAATACCCATTTAGCTTTTCCATCCATGTGTTTTGCAAGCACTATTCCATTTACAAAATGACTTCGCCATAATTTCCTTTAGCACAGAAGGGAAAGTATTTCCCTCTCTTAACTAGAATGTGTACTTTGTTCCAGCCTGGAGCAAATTATTCCAATGCATAGGCCTCTGATGGTGGCGTGCATTTCACAACTTGGTCCCCTGACTGAAATATACTTTTTGCTGCTACTTTGGCACCTGTGCTGCAGTTCCCAGTGCTGAGGGCAAAAGCGATTGCATCAAGGAAGGCAGCTGTAGGTAGTGCTAGTACTGAGTAACTGCTTCGGGTTTTGCCATGTGGGAGGGATTGTGAAATAGCAGCTTAGGCGGCGGCAAGTTTCCTTGACTCCCAGTAGTTTTTGTCCCAACATGACTGATGCTTGGATCTATAATAGGACAGTAAGAGAAACAATGATGTATGAAATATGTGAATGGGCTATAAACAAACGTAGCCAGGTGACTCAGTCATGTATCCTATATTAACATTATTGTTAAAGTAAATATTGTATGTAAAAATTATGGAAATTAATCACTTATACACAAAACATAAGCCCAAAAAATTCCTACCAGGTTGTGTTTGTGTGTCTGCAGATTAACATTTTGTGCAGGTAAGCACTGTCCCCATGTTCTTCCTTATCAGATAATGATCATCAGGGAGCTGGGCATCATTTCCCCTGTACTGACTGCCAGGCTGCTTTACAGGGGTGGTCTGAACTAGAATACAGGCAAGTCATCTGTCAGGGAAAAGTCTGGACATTTTCAGTGTGGCAGAGCTTTGGAAGGCCTGAATGCTTTCTACTCCTTAGCATCATAAGTATAAAAACGATTTAATAGTAACTTATTTTTTCCTTTTAAAAAAATTGCCACCAGTTTGTGCTCCCCACCCACTTTGAGGTTTCATTTTCTTTTCTTTTTGTGTTGCTGCAGAGAAAAACCAGGGCCTCATGCAAGCTAGTTCAGTGCTATTCCACTGAACTTCACCCTCAGCCTGTTCTGTCTACTTTTGAGAAATTGGCCCAACTGCTCACCAGCAGACTCGTGTTTAACACTGGGAATGGCGGTCCCCCTGCTGTCCTCTAGAGATTTGCCTCCTGCTGTGTATAGGGATGTGCAGGCTGTCCAGTGAGTTATTCGGACTCTGAGGTCCTGTGTGTCACTTCAGTCATGTGCACACAAAGCAGTGATGATTGGGTGCTTTGACTCTCCTCTCTGCAACCTAAGCTGAACCAGTATCACCTGATTCCTGTTCATTTCCATTAACTAAAGGTAGGACACATATGAAAGGTGGACACACAGAGTTTTGTGGAGACATTTTCCAAAAGAAAATAGTGGCAGAATTATATGAAAATGAAAAAGTTACCTTTAGAGACAGAACGATTAATGTGCATAGTTGGGACACCTAAGTGGAAGTCGTTTGTACCTCTTGCAAACTTCAAGATTAGCACTTGGAGAAAATACAATAGAAAAGCGTTCACGTGATTTTTGTTGTTGTTGTTGCTGGTGACAACTTTTTTTTCTTTTTTGCTTTTTTTTCCTTTTCAATTTTTGTTGTTGTTGTTTGTTTGTTTTTTAGGAATCAAACTCAAGATTTTGCACTTGCCAGGAGGCAGGTGCTGTGCCACTGAGCTATATTCCTTACTCTCTTGTCAACATTTTAAAAAAACATATAAAATAAATTTTGTATGTAAATGGTAGGAAAGCAGCTACTAGTATATCTAGTTCACATACTAAATGAATCAGGTATTTAAAGCAGCAGAGGCCCCTTGTCACGGGCAGAGGTGAATTCTGGTTCTTTATCTGGGTCCAGTTGGCAGCCCTCATTATCAGAGGGCTGTGTGTGCAAGGACCTAATAGAGTTGCATAAACCATATGGAAGACAGATGGAGGAAAATGAGAAGGGGTTGCAATAAAAGTATACAGCGGCGTTTTTATGTTCTTGAGCGCTCCTTTTAGTGAGATGGAGCCATATGGGGCCCAGTGGAGCCATATGGTAGCCCTACACATGGCCTTGGTAGCAGTGAGGAGGAAAGGGTACATGGGAAGAAATCAGTGCTCCTGGAAGCTGAGATTTGCCTGTCCTGGAGTCTTACATCCTGCATTCCTATACTCACCAGAGACTAGGAAAGGCAACCAACCAGGAGATGTATTTTCCCATCTCTTTCTCAAATCACTTGGCTGTAAAAATGTAGGTGCAGGCCCCAATAAATGGGGACAAGTTGATGCAATTACTAATTTGTGTAACATGAAAGTGGAAAAAATTTACTGAATTGAATGGAATCGAAAGGAGAATGTTAGGACTTTTGAGAGAGAGCATTTATTTATGTTGGTAATTGAATCAAGAATAGAAACATTTCAGCAGTTCATGCAGTATTCTGTCACCAAGTCAAGCTAAAAGTCAATCTAAATTTAAAAGCAAAAATTACTTAAGAGATGCTTAAAAGCATAGCACTAATGATTTTTCTAAATGTTTTGATCTATGCTCTGGCATAGTTTTGTTGTTTTTTTGGGGGGGTGAGTGTTGTTGGTTTTCTTTTTTTGGTAGTGATGGTGTTGGTGGTCATGGTGGTGATGCTGGAGATCTGACCCAGGGATGCTCTACCACTGAGCTGCATCCTCCTAAGTAGAAGAAGACTGGAGAGTGCTGATAAGGGGCAAATAAATCAACCAAATGTTTGGTCTTCCAGTGCTGCCAGCTCCGAATTCCTCATTAATCTGTGATAACCTCCCTCTGTTTACTAAATTAACAGTAAAACTCCCAAATAGCAAGCAATAATGAAATTCATCATAATCTAAACTTTTAAACATTTTTTTCCTTTGTCCTATAGCTCTTCATTCTTGAAAATGGAAAAGACTAAGTCTGTAAATTGGAAATTTATTTGTGATCATAGCAAGCGATTAAGGCTGCTTTCAAAGATTTCTTTCTCTTTTAAGGCTCAGGTTTTGACTTGAAACATTCTGAAAGGATAGAGAAAAAATCAGCTTTTTCAGCTCAGTGTTTTATCTTTCACCTTTCTAGAAATAGGGCAGACACCATTGGGTATTCTCAGCCCAGGAGAATTACAAGGACGGCAGATAAAAAAGAAAAAGACAAAAAAAAAAAAAAAAAAAAATAAGGGGGGGAAAAACCCCAAGAAGTTGTGAGTGGAGGGATGGGAGGAGGCAAGGTGAGACCAGACCTCTGTGATCTGTGGTGGTCCCCGGCGCTCTGCTCCTATTTCAACCTTTCTCCTCCCCGAAGAGGACGTGTATGTTTGACTTAGAGATCTTCTGGAGGGAATAATGATTCCTTTCAAAGCATGTGGGATACTCTCTGAAAGATTAGAGAACTAGCTGGATATTAACTTTTCTTTTTGAGTCTGTATTATAATGGTTTTACCTTAGGAAAAACACAAGAGAAAATATAGTGTTTTCCATTTCCTTATTCCTATTTCCCAATTCCTTACTCATCTTTTTTGAAGATAATACATGTAGGATGACAGGTTTTCAAGAAAAACAAGCATTGTGCCTAGATTAGTGGGAGTAGGTAAAGCCTACCTCTAGTGATTCTCATGAGTCCTGACCTGATTTCTTTAAGGTATAGCTTTTTTCAATTTCGGAAGGTTGTCGTTTTATGTATTCCAATATCCCTCAGTAGAAATGTCTATGCGGCCTTGAACATTTCGTGGATGCCTTACTGTGAATGACTCACTTTCAGCAGCACGTAGTAAGCAGAATATGTGGTGGAGGAGGTGAGTCCCTCCCTGCTGCACACAGGCTACAATTGTGGATATGCCTGCTCTGCAGTACGGGGCTCACTTGGCCAGCAGAGTCCAAAACTTCATGAGTATTTCCCTGAGAGAAAGCTAAGTAAAGCTGGGACAGTGACCTTGCTTTCTGTTACCATTTTATCTTGCCCTCTGCTAGCACTAAGCCCATCACACGACTCAGAGATGTTATTTTTATGGAGAAAAAGTTACGAATGTTTGTCTTCTAATCACTGGGACAACAAAACACAACTTAGGTAAACTCTTTCCATATTCACCATGCCTTGTAGGATTTCTGGAATGGTGCAGGTGTCTCTGTTTCCAGGCTTCCTCTCCAGCCTGACGTCCAGTCTTTGTCTACTGTCTCTGTCCCTGGCCTGGAGCCTCTAGAGCAGTGGCATGCTTGTTGTTTTTCTTTTAAAACAAAAGGTGTTAATGTATGAGTTGTTTTTTCTAAACTAAAACCTCAGTATTTGGATTTAATTGCAGTGTATAAGTGGGTTTTGGGTTGCAGTTTGGCCCCTAGGCTCTAAAAGGTTAGCCATCACTGCTCTAGAGCCTGAGAGGCTCTAAATTA